TGTTAAAAGAGCTCTTGCCATGAAAGCTTTCGATTGATTTACGCGAACGTGCGTTTTCTAGTGCATTTCATACTGGCAAATATCTTTTATTATTGAAATTAATATTATTACAAAATATCAGTGCTCATTTTGTAAACCTTTTACCGTTTCTTCATTCACAATATTAATGTTTACGTCGCACTGCGTAAAGTACGAAACGATCAACGTCGGAGAAATGGTTTTCTTATTTGAAAATTCTCTTTTTAGAGAAGTCATGTATCTTTATTATCTGGGATAATGGAGCCCCGCGATAGCGTTTTTCCAAGTACAGTGTCGTCGAGTGACACGATATTACGCAACGATGACAAAGAAACGCGCTGTCAAGAAGAAGATCGAATATGATTAATCAATATTGTTGCTCGAATCTTCCCATTTTATTATTTGGCACCCGGTCTTACCACGCGAAAGTATTGAAAGCAAATTACGACCGAGAAACCGTTGCGGGTACCTTAAATTTCAACACTCCACGTTCCTCTGCAGAAGTTTTATCAAAATTTCAGGAGGATTCGCTAGCTCGCTCGGGGAGCGTCGAATGAGACTTCAAAAGCAGCCGGCATACAATTTTTCTCAACTATATCGAATCAATAATTTCATCCGTTTCCAACGGAATTTTGGAGCGAAGGTAACCGATGAGAAATTGTTCTTTGAATGGGTGCCTGTCACCGCGCGTTGTTCGACCATCGAAGGGTCACCGATTCGCTATTTTCGGATATGGCCATTTCTAGTACGTTAGAAACCGGCGAAAACGATAAAAATTATTCATAAAAAATTGATTATTATTGAAATTCAAGATAATCAACACAAAATATCGAAGAATAAAATGATAAAAAAATATCGATTTTTAAACTTTTTGGTTACAAATAACAGTTATTAGCGTTCAATATTTTTTCGATTGCTCGAAGCAGTTATATATGAAAGAAATTTATTTCGATCACTCGTAACAATTATCAATAAGAGAAGTTCATTTGTAATCGTTCGTGGTGCTGTTAAAAAATCGAGCTCAACTTATTCCACAGCTACTATCGTGATTTAGAAAACATTATCTCGAGAAAAGGATAAATGTGAGCTCGGTTCTTCTTTCAAAGCTGATAAATGAACCTGCTTGGATCCGTATTGTTACAGAGGGAAGAAAAATGGACGTAGTACAGCGGAGGACCACACGAGTGGAATCATCTAAATATCTTTGATCTAGGTACACGAAAAAATTGTTTAAAATTTGAAGGTCATTTTCGTTAAGGAGTTTCAAGGTATAAGGATTTTCTTTAAAGAGTTTTTATAATGACACAAGGTCTTGTCAAAATTTCAAGGTGTACTACTAGATTGCAGATGTTTATGCTAACTCATACTTCTGAGATATAAATAAAGACCTAATTAAAGAAATTAAATTTAAATGAAAGTGGCTCGTGCTCTGATTTTTCAGGGTTTTCTGTTAACCCTTTGCATTCGAGGCCTTTTTTTCTGGTATCTACCAGCAACTCGAGATGCTTTCCCAGCATTCTCTTGTCACGAATGCTAAGATCATACTGACTTCGAAAATGAGATCTCTAATTTGACAATCATTTTATTGGGACTTCGAGTTCCAAAGAAATTGAACCTAAAGAAAATCTAGCGGTGACTGAGAGTCACCTCTCGAGTGCAAAGGGTTAACGATAGAAAAAAGAACACAATATAATACGGGAAAATTACAGTATATACTTTACGGAAAATAGTTAAATCGATACTAAACGTACATAGAACGTTTGAAATGATGAAAAAAATGAACAGGCTTACGAGAGGTAGTCAAGCGACAAAACTAACAGCGCGCTGAAATTCTGAGAAAAATTTCTCCTACGACCCCTGGACCAGGCTTATAACGGGTACTCGACTGTATTTTCGAATTTGTGCATGAATTTTCTTTCGTTCATTCTCATTTGAGCATTAGCTCTGCGACCATCCAGCCTGCAAAGGGGGGCCTGTATCTTTTCAGAAGACGATGAAGTTATTCAACTGGGGTTCGAACGTCCATTGATAATGTCGCTGTTAGAGAGACCCTGTGACAGTTTTATCAACCCGTGAAAGTAGGGTGGGCACTCAGCCGGTATGGCCATGGTAAAATGGTTCGATGGCCATCGACGTTCTTCCTTTTTTCTTCCCCCTGGTTCCCTACTTTTGCCAGCAATATTATCTTCCTCTCCCGTCGCTCCGTTTCTCGTGCCGTTTCCCTTGATTTGATTCCGTCCATTCTCGCCTCTCTTCGCCTCGTTTCTTGATCCGCCGTTCGTTTTTCTTTGATCCGTTCACGTTCGACTTACCTGGAACCACGCACGAGACACCCGACCATTTATTCTCGTTTCCTGCAGTTGGCGTTCTTTTAAACACTCGACGATCCCGCTAATACAGTCCTTCGAACGTGACGGGCTGAATTCGTACCCTTCGCGTTTGCAGCTATCGTATCTTTTGTTAGGAAATGAGAACAGGAAAAATGGTTGGTGTACGCGCGGGGAACGGTGACATTTATTCCTTGTAAAACAAAGTGAAACAAAGTAAAAGTAATAATAAACGATTTTCTGTTCAACAATACGTGGATATCTTGAAAGGCAAGCGAAACATTTAAACAAACATAGTACAAGTTTTCTATCCGGGATCTCAACGAAACCTAGTACAAATAGACTCTTTCAATTTAAGTTCGATTGGGAAGTATTTGATTTCCACACAGCGTCACTTCTGTTGAGGAGGTTGAGAACTGCCACCCCCGAGACCTCAATTTCCATCGCGAGACTTATATTCTCGGGGGCATTTTACCCGAGCGTTCGTCCGGGACGCCGTCTTTGCCATGTTTCAAATCGTGAGATGCAATCGCGGAACGCGATAGAGCACGAGTTAGGTCATTACAGTTTCATAACTGTTCGAAATTAAGGAGATGTTCTTGGCTTCTTGGGCACACTCTTCGTTATTCTCGATACGACGGCATTCATCCTGTACGCTCCCTTGTCGCTTCGTCCCGTTTGTTCTCTCTCTTTCCCTCTAAAATGAGATTCACTTGGAAAATTGCGTCATCCGTTGCTGCAAAATCCACCTGGATCAGTTCGTCAGTCAAGGAGAGATCTCCCCCTTTCCGTTCCCTACCCCCCAAAGTTCCAATTACAGGAACATCGCGGAAGAGCCGTGATGAGCATGCGCCCCTCAGCGAACGAAACCGGAGCTCCTCCGGTGATTATTACCGAGAGAGGGGAAGAGAAAGCGAGAGAGAGCGAGAGAGAGAGAGAGAGAGAGGAACAGGGTGCCTCACCTAAAATATGCCACATATATACATAGTTCGTTTGTGATGACTTGAAATGTTTTTTCATACATAATTTGAGTGGTTTCGAAACCACAAGTACACCACAAGAAATGGTTTCGTCTTTTAAAACGTTGTACTGTTCAGAATTCTGAAGGTTATCGTTCTTTTGGTTTTTTTTTCTGTACATAGTAAAGACTCCCATATCTGAACTAATAGGGAGACAAAAGTGGCTGGATAGCGGAATTTTCGGATAATAGAACAATTACTTTCTCTCGCGTTAAATATTATTTATTCTAGTAGAAAAATGAACGAAACTGAGTTTCCTTCAAAAGAGTCACATATCTTTTTAGCTGCTAAGTCACATAAATTATGTATTGTAAATAGCTGCGTAGAATTACATTTCCGTTGTGCCTCAAACCACAGAAGTCCTTATTAACCGACTTCGAAAAGGTTGCATTGTATTTAATACGCTGTATTTAATAATTTAATCAAATTCATCAAAAGCTGGTGAGAAATAAAATCATTTTTGGAAAAAAAAATATAAGCGACTTCGAAGAAATATTAAAATTGCGCTAAAACTTTTTGATTTCCAAAGGACCAACTCCTTTTGGATGCTTAGACTCGAATGTATCCATTAGTATAGCCTTTTGGAAAGAAATAACACCGTAGACATTCACGTATGTATTTCTCCCAAATGCTCACGATCACGGTCATAAAGGTTTCGTATTCAGTTTATAGAGAATATTTATTGGCTGCTGGTAAATATTTCTATAATAAAAAAACGTCGTCTAACGAACGGACCAGAATAACCACGAGTGACGTGGATGCTTGAGATCAATAATAATCGATAGGTTGGCGACAGAGGAGAAACGATGAAATGAGAAGAAACTCAACGCTAATGTGTGTCGGACACTTTCCAAGGAAACCTTTCTGGCTATTAATTTTTAACAGGAGATAACACGTAATTTGGTCTTTTCAATTTACATTTATTCACGCTCTTTGTAATTTCAACATATTTCCACGCGTACCTTCTTTAAGAAAGATGTCGTAAAAATGTTTCCTAATGATTCCGTTTGTTTTGGACATTTTTGGGCAACCCAATCTAAAAAAAACATGTATTTTTATATACTTAATTAAATTTAACGTATAAATTATATAGAAGCGATGCAACCTCTAAAAAATTAATAATTTTCTTGCGCGGAAAACTTGTGTACCTCCGCGAAAAATTAATATATACAAAAAATGGTTACTGTTCGATACGAACTCGAATAGATAACGGGATCCACCGCTGGTCCAAACGGTATAACAAAATTGTCGTCTACCTGGACAGTATTTCCTTTCATCTACCGGTATAGATAGTCTAGTCGATATTTTAATACCCTATCGGACGAAGGACGCATTCGATTCCAATAGCTTTTGCAACCGTTTTACCTGAGGCTACCGCGCTCGGCCGTGCGTATAGTTTCCGCTCCGGTCTTGAAGAATTAATAGAATAACTTCAAACTCTGCGCATGGTTTATAAATGTATTACTATTCTCGGAAATAAAGAATCTCGCGACTATTATGTAAATTCAGTGCTGTTATTTACTTTACTAAAATGCATAGACTGTAACGTACAAGTTGCTCGAGACGTGGCATATTATAAATTTACAATTTGTAATCCCTCTAATTTCTGTAATCTCTAATTACTTTGCGATTTAGTTAGGTACGTATTATTTCGATGGCACTCGACGCCGCTATACGTTTTTCCCGTGATTCGAAAGAAAATCGCAGTCATTACGCGGTAAATCATGAATTCCTCGGGTCGGATGTACTCGAGGATTACAGTTTGGTTGTACTTATTACGTGATGTGTGTCTACTAAAGCTTCTTGTACATGAATGCCTGTCGAATTCAAAAGGTATACCCATGGAAGGATTAGTCTATACAACTTAACTTCGGAGTTGAATAAAGCTATTCACATCATTTCGAAATGGCACTAACGTTCACTCTATATTTCGAACTTCCTGAGACGTTAAGAATAATACAGCTCATTTGGGTAACGGTTCATTATACGCAATTCGTTGTGTATCACGGCTTACACGCAATTCATCATTATGCTATGGATGTTTATACAATTTCTTATTTTATATTAAAACTTATATTTATATTTTACTTATTTTACATTAGATTTTTTTATTAATAGATTCCATATACAATACTGTTCTTGTTTTTTTATCGATATTGAATGCATTTCACTTGACTTTTATATCCATCGTAACACATTCACTTCCTCTTCAGTTTTTATAACAAATATGGAGTATAATATTAACGTTCTTCTTATAGCTTTTTTTTTTTTCAATTACCAAAGAAGCTTCTCCTTTTAGACGTACACACTGTACCTTGGACAATTCCAGACTTTCTCCATAGGTTCGTAGTCGACGTAACCAACGAGTTCCTCGCCGAAAAGGGAATTCGGTATGCAATAACATCGAGTACAGGTATAATTGGAATTGTGTATGATTAATCGATTGGCAGGTTAGTCGCCTGCGAATCGGAGACAAGCTTGGCGGTTGCTCGTTAATTATTTCAACAGTTGATGGATCATCCGGTCGTGGATAGAGTTAGATCGACTCGTAGTCGCAGCACCCGATTGTTTTCAAGGCTTCAACCCGGGGGCCGAATAATCGATCAATTTTCCGCGGTTCCGTGCGGAAGCTCGCGAACCACGGAGTCGGTGGCTGGGTTATTCTGACAATTACTTGCTATCGTACTTCCCGCCAAGAGAATTCCGTCTTTCGCATTAGCTGCTATGCTAATTGTAATTACGTTAGTAACAAGTTTGCCGATTACACAAGATGACGTTCACCGATCTAATCAAACGGAGTCTCGTTGCGAGGGGCTCGTTGAAGTAGTGTTGTCGCCGCGCTATCGGGACGACGAAGTGTTTCTCTAAGGGTACGTAGCACTGTTGAATTCGATTTGTAGCGAAACTACACTGATCGATTTTTAACGTTAACAATTGGTATACCGGGTTGTCCATGACAAATTGGAAACTTAACTCCGACCTCCTATAGTGGGAGTCACAAGTATTACGTAAGCACTATTCATTTTGTGCGTTGCACTGACACAGCTCGGGGTATTATACAGCGCGTTCGATAACAAGAGCCGATATGGTCGTTCTACATGAAAAAATGAATCGAAAATACAGGGTAAAATTCGTTCATCCGTCGCTTTGTTTCCGAGGGATTCAATTTGAAAAATTCGCGGGGGTACGCATAGCTGTTGCTATGAATATTAATAACTCGTTATTTCTAACTTGTGCTGGGCGTCCCGATACGTTGATTTCATTGTTATCTCAGTTTTGAAATGAAGCTCTGTTATTCGTCAAACAATAATTCAGAAAATACTCGACGTTTGTTTGAGACGATTCGTAAATTCAAATCGATACAAAAGTAACAGATGTAATCGTGTGTTATAAAATTACTTGCACGTTACAGGACGAGGCACGTAATGCCTCGAATTTAGAAAAAAAAAAAAATCTACAACAATCATATTGCCACTTGTGCCACTAGTTAAATGACACCTTGTATTTTGATAAGAAAAAAACCTGTTCGCGCTGACATAAGTGCGTCAGCATCTTCGGACGATTGTACCGTTTCCATTTCCTGGACACCGGGTAACTAGTGCACGGATGGCTTGAATGGGTACACGAGCTTGCGTTTAAAGAGGTTTTAAGCAAACCTTGTGCAGCGGATCGGTTGGTTCTACAGTGCATAGAATACACTTCGAGTCTTGTTTTTCCCCTCGAATCTTCGGTGCCGGCAGAGGCTTGCTCGCTATTTGTAACCGTGTCACGGAGTGTCTGAAGAGGGGGATGTTTGCCGTTTCCCTCTCGCACCCATTCTACATTTTAACGTCACAGAGAATATTTGACATCGCTTGAACCTTTATTTTTATATACGCTCCTTAAATAATTAATACACTGTCCAGTCTTCCCCATTAATACTATTCCAGTCTTCGTATTATATTATATTATATTATATAGTCCATTTTATATTCCAACCTCAAAGAGAATATCTGGTGTCTCGCGAACCTTTATTTTCATATATCCTCTTAAAATAATTACTTTCCGTTATTATCATACCGTCTTATATTATTTCATCCTACCCTGTTATCCCACAAGGTTCTATCCTGCTCGAAGTTTTTCGTTTCACCCGACTTTCGGCGCGTCTTTAACATCGTCCCGACGAAGAAACGCATCCATCGTTTTCACTTTTGCTTCTTTTCTCGTCTACCCGATGTTTCGATTATTTTCTCTCTCCTAAGCATTCCTGCTCCACCCGGCGTCACTTTTTGTCCCCAACCACGTTCTCTCCGTTCTTTAATCTACACCTATTTTCATCGTCTCGTACTACCTCCATCCATCCCCCTTGTATCGGTACTATCTCTCCTCATTTTTCTTTCCTCGCTCCACGGTCTCCTTTGATCTTTGTTCCTCCGTCGTTCGTTCTCCCTCTAATTCACGCGCTTATCCTCGACACTCTCGCGCACCCCTTCTTTCCATCCCTTCTTTCCCCGAGCAGCAAATACTACGGGTACACCATCTTCCTTCATCCCTCGCGTTTCATCCCTCCCCGACATCCCGACTCTGTCTTTTTCCGCGTCTAACCCTTTTTCCCAGTTCCCCCTCGTCCGGTCTCTCCTTCCGACCGACGGCTCAGGCTCCGACAGCATCTCTCGCTCTTTCAGCCTCTTACCTTTCGCCCTCGTCGCTCTCCGCGTACGTCTCTGTCCAACCAGCGCCCTCTTTCACGCGTCCCATCGGGTTCACGGCGTCTCTGTCGGACGCGCTGTTGTGTCGCGCGGACTGGTCCTGCGCGATGGGGATGCTGCGAGATAATCGTTCCCCCTTCGGCCCCGCGAGCAACCGACCCTTTTCGGTTTCCCCCGCGCCGAGGAAAGCAGCAGTAAGAGCCAGGCCGCCGCCATAGCCGCTCCCCGGGCAACGAAGGTGGAGAAACCGGCGTAGAGTTCTCTTTTTCTTTTTTCCTTTCTCTCTCTTTCCATCTTTCTCCTGGGTTGATACGCGACGATACGCGCGACGTCGCCGTCGTGGACACCGACGCGCACCACCGTCTCGAGGCCAGCCCGGTCGTCGCGGCGCCTACATCGCGGCCTCAGGGACCCGGGGACGAGGATCCGCCGGCGGATCATGTGACGCGTAACCGAGAACACGCTTCCCTTCCGTCGACGTGCTCGATGACAGCGTGCGGACGGTGCTGCTGACGACGTCGCTCTCCGAACGTCTTCGATTCGCCGCATGAACGCGGAATACCGCTGGTGCGGGCTGATATGCTGGTGCGCTAACCTCGATTCGCCACGGCTACGAGACTCGAGAACTTGTGGATCAACGTGTCGCGACGCACCGCCGAGAGGAACTCGTGGCCGACCTGGAAGAACGGCGTCGTCCCAGGTGCTCCGATGATTAGAGATATCGCGCGTGCTGGAAACGGACAGACAACGGCGTCGGTCCCGCGACGAGGCTGGTGAATGCGATACCGGTTGTTACGAACGAGCCGCGGGTTCGAATTTCTCGATAACAAGCGACGAGCATCGACCGATGCCACCGCACAACGATGACGATCATTTATCACTGCCGATTATAAGTGACGGGCGAACGTTGTCCACGTGAGACGACTTGGAACGCGTACGCGATGAAACCAGGCCGAACGCCTCGATAAGCGACCTGATTTCTGGCCCCCGAATTCCCGTCGTCGGGAAACGACTATCTTGGGTTAGGTACGGCGTAACGAGGCGAGGAATACTGGAGAAGATCGGCGATAGGTTGTTGAAATAAAAGGATATCGAAACGGCAAAGAATACCGATGACGTGTACACGTGTTGCTTGAGTGTGTGACAGCCGTCCGTGTGTCGTGATCGCTTTGCGTCGCAACGAACCGCTTCGAACAGTTTTCACGAGAAATTACACCACGTTGTGCAACGTGCTATTTTTCAAAGGTGTTACCAAGTAATCATGGATGTTCTCGGTGTTTTCGTCGTTTCGTGTAACGTATTTCCCGGTGCACGGGACGATTCTAGCCTGACTTTTCACGATTGAGAAATAAAAGATACCAATTGGAGTCCCCTCCGATGCGACGGATCCAATCAACGGTGCGATTGCTTGCTATTATCGACGAGGCGTAGGAAGAACGACAGCAGAAACGCGCACGATTGCTCCCCGAACTGCCTTTTTGTATCGCAACACCTTCTCCGTCGACGGTGCCACGTACCACGAATTCCACCGAGTGGCATAACGTGACGCAACACGATTACCAAGTGTCTTCTGCGTATCAGGCGTAATCATCGACATCGAACGAGCCCTTTTATTAAGAACGACGAGAATCGAATACTCAGTAAATCTTTCGCTTATGTTTGCCAGAAGTTTCGATACTGCGAAATCCTACAGAATCCGTTCCTGACGAAAGAACCAGGCCACGCGAGTTTCCCGAACAATCGACGTTAAAGACGCTCTTCCCCAGAGAAGCACGAGTGCCGAGGCTCGATCGAAACTCCTCGGAGTCTGGACTCCGGGTGCGAAAATCGAGTTCTGTGTACGTGGTGTCGTCGGCTCCGCGCTGTAGGTGTCAACATTCCGACCTAACCCGTTCGTTCCCGTTGTGCCGACCGTCGGATGGTCCTCGATGAGTTCGATTCAAGGGTAACTCAACTTGTTGCGAGAGAATACACGTATGAAGCGTACCAAAGTGTGTTCTGCCGTCACTCGCGGACTGACGGGAGGTGGGAGGGTGGTGGGCATCTCGGTAAAGCTTCCATGTGAATGTGAGGCGTGTATCGCTGACGTAGCGAGTCGAAAGGCGATACACCTTCGCCGTGGTAGTGGTGTACCGTGACCAGGTATTCGTTTTTTGTTGGATTGTCCGTCGATCCTCGCGGCGATCGATCGATAACGCAAGCCTTCGGTTCTTTCGTTCGATTTCGCGACGCTGCATCGACGGCGCTGGCACCTTCGCTTCTCTGCGATTTGGCTAGCATCAGACGAGAGGAGCCGACGTGCGGGAACATCGGTGTTGGTACGTATGCCGGAATCTGCGGCACTTCTGTGCACGCCTGTGTACACGTGATAAGATCGTTCGGTACTTGGTGGCTCGTTAGAGACACCGAACCGACGTCGAAGTAGTTTCATCTAACCGCGTTAACTGCGTATCGCATTCGCACCTCGCGTTAAGCGAGTTTTCAATGTCGTAAATCCGTTCGATGTTGTTTAAAGTTGCCGGAAGTTGTTAACCTCTTCGCACCTCGTCTAGATTGTAATGTACGTTGAACAAAATTTTTAAGGAAAACCACCGTCGAGTGGTTGTTCCGAAACTCGTTGCGGAGGATAGCGTCGAGATAAGTGGAAACAGCGAGTAATAGTCAGACACGTTGATCGAGTCGACCTCACGCGTACGCGTGACTGTCGACTGCGCAAGATTAACTTCCTACGAAGCAAAATCTCGCATAACAGAGGATTCTATTCAAAAAATTTGTTTAGATGATCTTTTACATTAGCGAGTACTATTTTGCTATTAACTAGCAACTATTATTCTATAACACGTAAATATGTATTTCTTTTTAAATTCAATTGCAGTTATTGAGAATTCCATGTAACTTGAAACACGAAGATAGAATATTTTAGCTCCAGATAGGAATTCGAGTCTGAGGAAATTAAATATCACCCAGTTTAAAGCAGAGTCTGATAGAAATGCCTTACTAATGAGTTGACTAGCACAGCCTTTTTAATGAAATGCTAACTTCCTCTTCCTCATAACAAACGAAATTTAGTAACTTGAAAAGTCAAAAAACGTTGACGCGAGTTTTTCTTCGTTCAGCTTTGTCCGATATCTCTTTTCATTTCAGACGACTCCCAAATGCAATTAGTCTAGCTTAATATTTATACTCTATCCGGAACTGATTATGACATTAATCCTTATTCGTCGTTGCTGTTCCTCTTCTAATTTCTCCTCAACAGTATATCCCAGAGTATCGTTGCACCAGAGTACTATAGCTTCGTGAAATTTGCATGCATCGCGTCATATCTCCATTATTAATTAGATTCGTTACAAAAAAACTTAAATTTCTTCAGTACACATAGAGGGTACGAATATTTCTATAAATCAATTTTAAATTTCCATTCGAATTTGGTGGCACTTTCTGTCCTCGTCATCAGGGGGACATCGCGGGTACCACGCGTTTCTCGCAAGTACTCGCTCTGCCTAACATTCTTATATAAGCAATTCCCGACGGACCTCCAAACATCCCGGCGTTTAACCCTTTATTTACTGAACTCCTAAAAACTTTTTAAAATCTCCATCTTGGTCTTATGTCATCTCATAGAATTGTCTCTAAACAAGCTTTCAAAAGAAAAAGAGCTTGCGCTGTGTCACCCAACAATTAAAAACGAATTTCATAGAATTGGCCTTGAAAGTCACGATAGTTTAATAACGACAATAATATTCACGAAGCAAAATACGAATCTCAGCCAGTGGCAAATCTCGGATAAAATTTACCTAAACTTGAAGCGCCTGACGCCACTTCCCACGTTTCTTAACTACTTACCCTGCGTTCCGTATGTATTTCGAATTTCGAAACGAACCTCCTCCGAAACTCCGTTGGATGTGACGGTTCCAATCCGATTTGAAACAGTTAATATTCTTTCGACGGCGGGAACGAAAAGAATTCGAGAATATCGAAGCGCTAGAATATCTAACCCGGGACGATTGTGCCCTGTTGACTTTAAGTTATACTTGAAGTATGAATCGTTAAGATTACGTTTGAAATGAAAACGTGAAATACAATTCTTTTTTGTTAAAGTCTTAGAACATTAAGCAGAAAATATCCACGAGGAGTCGAATTACTGTTGAATAAATTTTATGGACAAGAATGTATAATATATTATTATAAACCTGCAAAAGACAATCATCATTTATGGATTGTATATACATTTTTTAAATGTATTTTTCACATTTATGTAAAATATGAATCTGTGATAATGAAATGTAGCTAAGGGTACGAATATTTCCGTAACAGGTTGCGAGGCCTGGTGAGTAATTTGAAGTTGGAATGTAATCAGACTGCAATGCTAATTATCGGGTACGGTTCGTGCACGAAAGTGGTATATTAAATACGTTAACGTACGTTATATATCTGAACCCCACTTGTCGGGTAAGTTTTGATATTTTTCCCGGTACAGTTTCACGGGAATCCGGCGCTTTCCGATTTCTCCGCTTGCTCCATGCAAATCCGTTTATATTCAGCTTCATCCGATATCATTACATCGATTTATTCATGAACCAACCCCACCGTCTCCGATATTTATTCGGAATTTTACAAGTGCTTTCCGAGTTGTCGACGTGATAAATATGTCAACGTATGCGAAATACATAAATATCATTCGGTGTGATAAGTCGGTTTGGCAGAAGATATCCACGAAGAAAGAAAAGGGACGTGGGGTGTGAAACGTTTGGCCTTCCATCGAAATTTACTGCTGTTTATACGGTGCCTATAAAATATCCTACATCGAGCTTCTGTAACACCCGAATCAACGGGAAGATGTATACATTTCCTATTTATTTTCGCCGTAGCATTTTCGAAATATCGCCTTTGCCCTTTCCTCTAACTACTTTCGCCATATCCTTCCTTCGATGCTAGATATTGGGGCTGGATTATTCGAATAATGACGTCACGTGGTTGGAATATTCGCAATTCAAATTTGAATATATGAATCTTTTGGAGAAAATTGCGATTCGTTTTACACGATTAGATTTTTAAAAATCTTGACTTGAAACATACGTTTCATCAAGTAAAAATAAAAGAGTTAAAAAATTACCTAGATATGTAAAACTAATAATAAAAGTTTTCATTGAAACCAAAGAAAAAATCAATATGAAAAAAAAAGCAAATCTGTAACACGACAAAGACTAATAGAGTACTATTTCGTGACATTAGTATTCGTACATTAATACGCGAAATGAGTTCATGGTATATTTCAATCCTTTACGCCTCCTTTAATGGTTTTGTTCGGATCTGTTTCAATCTCGGCCATCAAATCTTTTACATTGAATTTAACGAACCTTCGATTCTTATCGGAACAGACAGAACGACCTTCCTCGAACTTCTTCTAGCATTGCTGGCATTTTCTGGTATTTAACACGTTTCCATAAACTTCTTTTATTGCTGTCAGTTGAGTATCTCTCTGATGCATATACCATCCTTGCATTAAAAAAGCATTACGTGTCTAAAGTGAATTTCGTATGTATACGTACAGGGTGTTCCATTTAAATCGTGGAACAAAAATTAATTTCGGATACGATAAAATTATTTACTCCGTTTAATTTTTCCATTTGAACTGAAAGACTTTTGTAAAAATATATAAGAAATAAATAATACCTGATAGACACACGGGGACTTTTGCGAGTGGACCGAGTGGTCGACGGGTTCCGTCGAGATTTCATGCGACAGTGGACGTGGTCATGCCACGGTGCCTGCAAATAAACCAGCGCATATTATATCTCTCTGATCAATGCTTCATATCGTAATTATTATCTCGTTTTATTCGCGAACGCGTGCGCGCAGAATCCGGGGCCCTCTTTTCGGTATCATTTATCGGCGGCCTTTGTGATGTTACTGCGGAATTAGTTTATCGCGAATCTTGCGCGCAAATATCGGTCGCAATCGAGCAATCGACGAATAAAATGATGATTTTGATATTAATAAACTTCTGATACAGTGAGTGATACGAGCATAACGTTCAGAGAGCTTCAACCTGAAGTGACCTTAAACGAATTCTATGCTTTTTGAAATTTAATGAACTTGGTGAACGACCTAATAGAATATTCTTTCTACCGCGTACTCAATTTGTTAAATTAAAAGTAAGGAAAAATAAAAGATACATATTAAAACGTCACGCCATGGTAAGTTATTAATTCAAAGATAAATTTTTGCGAGGAGTAAATTCTGTGTCGTCTCTAGTAACTTTGCATCGGTTAAATGATAAATTAAATATTTCCCTCTTTAAGCAAAAAGTTGCTCCCGCTTTTTACTCTGCCTTCGCTTCTCCAAATGACTTTCAAGCAAAGCTAACGTTAGCAAACGATGATTACTATAGAACGTTTTCCTGATTCATTTGGGGAAGTGGTTATAAATGAGTCTCCCTTTAATTACTCTATGCGTTCCTTTGACTTTGAACTTAGTGTGTTTGTAAAGTAAAGCGTTACGTGACCGCTGCCTTTTCCCGATATTTGTAAGATTAAAGAAGAAGCCAGTGTAAATGGGTGAATGCTTAAAAATAATATTACAAGAATATCTTCATCAGAGAAAATAGTTCAAATAAAAACTTGAAATTTTTAGGATATCTTCCTATTATCAAAAGTTATAACTATGCCAAATTTCAAATTATTTCATTCATTTTTATCGGAATTATAAAGAAAAAAAAAAATAACCGATTGACGAAATTGCACGTATTTTCCATTTAAAACGTTTATTTTTGAATAAAAGTCAGGTCTGAAAGGGTTAAAATTGTTCGTTTCCATTAAAATTGTTAACAAAAGAAATCTCGAGTCCGTGTGCCAATTAAGACGATTTTTATCCGCTACGACAGAAGGGTAACGTTGTCACGTCAGCTTGTAAGGAATTAAAATCTCGTAAGCCGGTTTGCACACGACCTCCCCCATTACAATGTAGTTTCGAGTCATTATTAAAAGCTTATTACCCCGCAATTCCTTTTGTCGCTTTAATTTTCCCATTAACCGAAACACAATTTCACCTTACACCGATGCACCACAACCGCTGTCTCGATGAAAGTCAATTAAACACGTTTCGTTTTCTGCAAAAGGTTCTATTATGTTTAAACTCTCTTTCCACAAACCTTCCTAAGGACTTTACGATCATAATTTTGTATCGGATAATTATCGTTCGAAATGAGTTTAGAATACAATTTTTCTAGTCATTTTATTAATAATTTATCGTATTTCAAATATTTTTGTTTGTATATTTGAAAGAAGTTAATTTATCTATGATCCTAATTTAGAATGAT